AGCTACTGCGTGGGACCCAATCAGATGAAGTCCGAATGCGTAAACGTCGGTGAGGTAACCTTTGAGCGCACATAAACAAACCATTCCTGGTAGAAATCCCTGAGCCTTACACTACGATGTATCCCGTTTCGTATGTGCTGATTTCAGATGTTTTATTTGTAATTTATTTTGATGTTGCAATTTGTCATTTATAATTTCCAAACCGGTTCGCGAACCGGTTCAGCGCCCAGAACCGGTTCGCGAACCGGTTCGCGGATCGAATTAATCGAACCGGAACAAAATAAATTTACCTGAACCTGAACCGTAACCGAACCCGAATTTTCATCGGTTTGACACACTGGTATTGATGGATAAAATAACTAACAAGAGCTTACTGCTCTTTTGCATCATGGCATTAAAAGACAAATGGCCAGTGTGCTCAACATAGGGGAGAATGTGTGCTAGCAAAGCGAAGAACAAAAGTCACTGCACAGGGGCGACATTTTTTATTTGACCTAATTATTTCTAAGAACCTCATGACACTTGTGATAGCACTTATTATGAAGTTCTGCTTGACAAAATGTATTAGATCCTTTCTGAGTCAAAACACAATGATGACATTGGTTCCTATAGCAAGTTTGCATGCATTGCCCAGAGAAAACATTAAGCTAGTTTAAAGATTTAATCAGACAAGCAAATGTTCCAGTAGAAAGATTACCTTATTTTCTTAGGTTCAATAAAAGTACTATCAATACTATTATTATTTTGCATCATATGACAGTTCGTCGAAGTCACAATAGAGAGCAAATAGTAACATTTTCAAAAATACCCATGTTGCTGCGTCCAAAGACCAACAATAATTTGACTGAGAAATGATCTGTCCCTGTGTCATGTAGCCAGTAAGATGGTCCAATCAATGTGGTGCATACCCTGATAAGTCAGAGCAGAGCTGTATTTCTGTGCCCACAGAAAACACTGAGCCAGCCCATAAAAAGTAGCTAAACCAATCAAGGCAAGTGTGTGTCAATCAGATGAAGGAATCTGTAATGTCGATCGCTTTGACCACCTAGTTGTGACAGATGAAGTTGCATGTAAAAATCCCGCAAGCTTAGACCACCTAGCATATGTATCCATGATCATAAGGCTTTATAGACCTTTTTCACAAGGGCACCGCCATCTTGAATTGATTTCCCTTCCAGTATGGGCGAAAATGTTGTTTTGCCATTGCCACGTCAATAGAAGGCATTTAAGATATAAGCGTAACCGTCACACATTCTCGTTTTGCCTTCCCTCTATTTTTTTAGCATTTGCAGGTTGAAACGTTTGATTATTTTTAATCGTCCATACCGGATATGCCTTTTAGGCGGCTGGAGACGAGAGTACACGAAAAAGGTTTATATATGACCTTTCTAGAATGGCTTCAGAGACCGTTTTTGTATGGGCCGTATGCTTTAATGTGGTACCAGCACGCAAAAGCAAATAAATGCCTGTGTAACTACCAACCATTGCAAAAAAATGAGAGTGCACTAAATAAATAGTAATCAGCACATAGTTCTCTGCACTTAACCATACGAGCACACCGGCAAACAGTATGTATGCTGGCAAGCATGTGCAGATCTAATGTTCTGAGCCCAAGACTAGTAAAAACATGTTTTGCATTTGTCTATTGTTGGTGTCAGTGTTTTGGACCCAGGCAGTTAGATATGTGACAGTAACCTTTTCTTTTGAACACATTTTGCATATGTCTACTCTCCATGTCAATGTCTGGGACCCTAAGGTATGTGACTGACATTAGCTTTTTCTTTCAGATTGGTGTCATGTTGAATGGTATCAGGTGCATAGTAGTGTAAGTAGTTCATTTTTAATAAATTGGCCATGATACAGACTAAAGAACAACAAGCAGTATATTTTGAAAAGGTCACAATACATACAAACTGGGTCTGCATTATGTGAGAACCACACGGAATAACCGAGAATAATAATAATAAAAAAAAGGTCAAGAACAGGAAAAGAAATTACTAGAAACTTTTCAACATTTTTTTAAATCAGAGTGTCTGATATTGGCCATTCAATTCACTACCATGACAAGTCTGCGTCTCTCCCACGTGCAATGGCCCACGAAAAACAAGAATGCCTGCTCGGAGCCTGGAATGATTTTGTTGTGCACGCTCTTGTGTAAGCGAGCATCCGCAACAGAATCTTTTCTTCCAGTACTACGTGCCATGATAGGCCCCAGCTTGTGCTCACCACTTTTTGAGAATTTCAAGTGTGGTGCATCTGGGCACAAGTCAGACTTCTTAATAGAGGCAAAATGGAGTACACAACTACTTTTTGGTATGTTTTTGCATAAATAAACTTTGAAACTTGATGCTTATGGCAGGAAAGCAACTCTCCCGCAGGTATGGATATCCACTTACAATTAGCAAGCTATGAGATCTAATCCTTTTGACAGAAGCTTCGATCAGGTGACCTTGCTTTCCAGTTGACAATCAGTCACCTACCTCAGACAATGAGCACAAACCTTTAGTGTTTAGGTTTGTCTCTAGGAAAAGCTGCAATAAATAATTACAAGACAGGGCAGGCTAGTTCTTTTATATAAGGGTGGCCATTTTCAGAAAAGCAAGGGTAAATTTTTAATTCTGCGCAGCAACTGCCCATAACAACTGTTCACATATTCCTGGTATTTGTGGTGAGTGTCTGGCTACAAGCACAAAGCTAGATAATTAGAGTTGAGAAAGCAGGTCACTAGAACAAGCAAATGAAAAGTGTCTGTTCACCCATAACCAGGCAAGGAACGACGGGGTTGATGAAGGGAGAGAGAAGCAGGGGCAATACTGGAAAAACAATGGTGACTTGGCACGTGGTAAAACCCAGTGGCATGTAACAAATTCATGAGGTTATGCCATGCATGATCCCAATAGAAAGACGAGTGTTGTGGTCAATTAAACTCTGGTGGATAACCAAAAAAAAAGTGTGCAAAATTTTCTGTTGCCAATTTTATGCCACTGCACTTCACATCTTGTCCTAGTTAACCGCGGCACCCAGTAAACCAAGTTCCCGTTTGATTGCACAGCTTTGGTCCTGAACAACAATGACTCACACTCCCTTATCCTGGTTCAGATAACCTAATAGCTCATTGATTGGTCACCAGGGCATGATTGTTCTATATGGCCTATGATAATTGGGATATGACCAAATTGCCCTTTATAAAATGACCCTTGTTTCAGTTACAATGTGAAAGCTTGTATTTTGGAAGGAAAACTATGAGAAGTAACTTTTCTGTTGGACAGAAGCGCCGAACAAACAGGGACAAAGAAGTAGACAAACAGGTAGCGCCTTTGTCTACTTCTTCGTCCCTGTTTGTTTGGAACTACCGTCCAGTGATATACCAACTAGTCCATCTTTCAATCTTAATACAGCTCTTCTGTGCTTGTACATAATTTCAATTAACACAAGAAAAAAAAAACTTAATTTACTTTTTAATTGGTAGGACGTCGCCTAGCAACAGTACCTTCCTTGCCTTTGGCTGACCTTGATACTTTCGCGCGTAAGTTGCAAAGCTGTATCCCAGTAACTTTATAAAGGTTTTTAAAAATATGATTGATATGTGTGTAAGACATACCAGCCCCAGCCTGACTCACCTAGATCACTTATAAGCACTGCTTATTAATACTGAAGTATTCAGCATAGTAAAAAAAAAATATATATATATAAGAAATCGTGATCTAAGTATTGCTCAGTAAAGCATCCGATGATGAACATTCATTGTATGCCCGTAACATCATGCGACGACCTTCCAGACTGTATTATTATTGCGTGTAGGCGTCTTCACGTATCATGGCCTCTAGTCATGTTGGCCGTATTAAAAGACTTCAGCTTCACAGCAGCCACGAAGTCCTTGGGACACACAACGCTGGTTCGGAGCGACCAGACAAGCATATGGGCACCCCGATTCCGCGGTTGAATCACGCAGACATAAAACCGAGCGCGGGGCAAAACTTGTCCCGATCTTTGTTCACGATCAACAAGCGAGCTTAGGAGAGCACTGTAGGCGTTGCATTTCGAAACGAGGAAATTCGCAGCAGCAGTAGCGACGCCCAACTCGCGACAATAAGGGTCTTCTACAAACATCCTACTGCTGAACGTTCTCGAACGTTTTTACAAATGCTGTTTCCTACCTATACCAACCTGAGGGGGAACTACGAGCACGACACGGGTTAAGAAGGGACTCACCTAATGATCTTGAGATAAAAGATCGCGATAAAGGATCGCCAGTCTGCGTTGTTACGCCCGTTCTAAAAAAATAACGAAACTACAGAAAGGAAGCCGGCCCCGATCAAACCGGAGATCCTAGACCATTCCTTCCCATTCCCGCGTCATATGCGACCCTCCTCAGGCGTCTTTACGACCGAGCTGGTACCGTAGAGATAGCCTCGGGGAGGTGTACGGTCGTGGGGCTCGAGGGCGGGTCGAGACCGGCGCTCGCTCGATCGGGACGCTCAATGTCAAGCTCGCGGCAAGGATGATGGACAGCGCGTCAAGGGTCCCAAGCAGGGGGACCCAATTTTGCTCGCATGCGCTAAGCCTAACGCGCCGAGCAACAGCCCGAAAAAATCAGCGTACGTTAGAAACGCTCGAACTGTGTCGATCGTAAACAGTCAGTGAATTTCACGGCTGCTAGATCGTTGCCTGTGCTGCTGCGCTCATGTCGACGTAAGGCGAAGCTTACGGGCGACACACCCTAGCGCATAGCTCCCCCACGGGATGGAGTCTCGCCGAGCGACTTCCTGCTAGCCATTTCGGGGAATACAGCGAGCGTTACGCGGCAACAGGCGCGTTCTGCGTACTCTAGATGGGAGCTGCAGCCGGGCTTGGCGTACGATAGAAGTTGTCACCCGCTTTCTCCGAGCGCCTCGACTCCAAAAGTGCCTTCAGTATCAACTCGAGCACAAGGCTCGGTCCCGTACGCTCGCGACATTTGCCGAGTGGCGTGGGGCGGGGTAGGGGGATGTCTGGCTCACCTGTCGTGCAAACCTGAAGCGGATATATCCATTATTTCACAAGTCAGTGCCAGTCACATAATCCTACTGCACACAGGACACAAACAAAAATAAACCTCCGATAAACAACGAATGCACAAGCCATCAAGACTAATATGGCTGACGTGCAAGCACGCGGAGCATTCTGGGAAATTTCATTACTTGTCGCGAACTATGTGAGCGAGTAGAGAAAGGAGCGAGCGGGCGTCATGGCGCCATGCGAAAGGCACGCAAAGAGAGCGAGGAGTAATGAGGAGTGTTAACGCCACCAACCCCACCGACCCTGCTTAAACGCTCCGAATCAAACCGAAACCGAAACCTGAATCGGACTGTGGCAGTTTGAAGTATCTATTCTAAGAAAAAGAGAAAAAAGAATATATATATATATATTTTTTGTTTTGTTTTGTTGACAAGTAGCTTTTGCTGATATAAATGTCACATGCGTCCACAATCCCAGTTCTTGTTTTGACGATAGTAGGCTTAGTTGAATGTCGGCTCACTGAAATTTTGTCTGTCTCAATGGCATCAAGGGCTGTGTTCCAAAATTTACTCGATCCGACTCCGGAGTAAAGTTTCGTACCATGGCGTTCCAAAACTTACTCAAGCAACGTTGCTCAAGCTTACTCGATGACGTCAGAACTGGTGTTGCAGAAGCGGGTTGTTTACTCCGGAGTAATTACTCACGCTACCCTCCTCGATCGTGGGGTAACGTCGGATCAAATCAACGTTGCATCAAATCGAGTAAATACTTCACGTGATCTGCTCGTCGTCTGCTTTCTGCGCCGACAGCCGTCAAAGCTCGCTTGCTCCGTTGGTTTTGGTGGCGGACGTTCGAAATGACAAAGAATAGGTGCAGCATGCGTGGTTATTGCGATTTGCTGTTTTCAACGCACGAATTGACTGCATTACATCCAGACCGTGCACCTTCCCCGGGAAGTTATACTTGTTATTATCAAAGTGCGAGCGTAAACAGGAGCTTCTCCGCATTCTCGTCCTGGGTGTTCAAGGCTGAAAATGCTTGAACGCAATACATGATAAGGTAGTATTTTTGATTCCTCCAGAGTGTGTGTAATGAGAGGATAACGCGTGTAAAGCTGTGAAGGCTTCGGTGATTTTATTGTAATCATATTCGCGCCAAAGCGAACGTCAGTTTCATTTCATTCTTGAGAAAGCACCCTCGCGCTGTACCACTACACCGTGTCGAATCAATTTGTGCTAAACATAATCGGTGCAAATTACAATGCGTGGATTATGCATTTAGGGCGATCGCGCAAATTAATTTTGATATCTAACTGTAAGGAGTAAGTAATTTTTATCTCAATATACACCTCAAAAGGAAGGTGAGTAAAAGGAGCTGGTGGATTTACCTAAAAAAAGAACGTGTCGGTATTAATATTATCGTCTCTTCGAGTGCTTTCTTCGTGATCAAAAGGATCGTCTACTATTTTCTGCCACCGCTGCTGTGTTTTCTTTTTGCCGTAGCCCAAGACGAAGCCAATCCGCGTAGTATCCAGGTGTTATCCCGGCCGTTTCAAAATCGAGTCGCGGATCGTTTACTCGCGATGTCACGCGGTATTACCCTCTGACGTAGGAGGCACGTTACTCGGGTAAGATATGGAACATAGCCAAAGAGAATGCAGAATGGTGTTGCACGCGCCACACGCGCCACACGCGCTGGCATCAGCAGTAGTAACTTTTCTAAAGCAAACGCATAAAACAAATTGCATCTTGCACGCGCGTTAGTCAACGCTTTATTTTGGTTATTTACTTCGAATCTTTTATACGGGGAAGGCGTGCGCGTGTGGCGCGTGCAACACCAATTCCTGCATTCTCCTTGATGCTTGGGTAATTTAGCAATATGTCTATTATCTCAACCAAGTAACGTCATGTTCTCGAACTTTCGCCTTCTATCCCAACCGCTAGTGTTGCATCGTCATGAAGTTTGTGCTTGCCGTGATGCATAGTTTATCGACCAGCTGGCTCACACCAGCTGCGTTTAAGATTTTTTTTTTTTTTTTTTTTTTTGCGTGAAAAAAAAAAGAAAGAAAAAGAAAAGAAGGTTAACGTGCAGATGAGCTGGTGTGTATCAATCATGATGTTTGGGGTATTCACACGCTGCCATATACGCCTCGCAAGTGGGCTCATTTTCGTCTTCTGCGCATGAGAAAGGAAGTAGCGGTGGCGTCAGCGCGACCCCCTATCTCAGCGTCGTCTGCTCCTTTGCAACGTCGTCTGCTCGCAACATCGTCTGCGTCTGTCTTACCTTTCCTGCGAACTGCAAGTCTTTACGAGCGAGCTAGACTTAACCTTTCAGAGAGGGCAGACGAAATAACTCGAGCGGTACGTTGTTTTTGTCTAACAACTAAAGGCGATAACAAGAGGAAGAAATTGACCTCTTAATCTAAAACTGAGGTCAGCGATTAAAGTATAATACGGGAAGGGTTCACAAGGGTCGCGCGGGCATATTCCATTCAGCACACCAGCCGGTCATGGGCAGACGGTCGCCGAGTCGCCGAGTCGCGGAGTGCTAGGCCTAACTGCCGTGCTCACTTGGTCGCGTTCGGTAGAATCGTGGCCGTTGGAGCTTTTCCCGGGTGTTTGTGGATCCAGCGTTCCTGTTCGTCGTGGTCTGTTTCAAGTACTTTTACTTTTTTCTTGCTGCTTGAAATCGGGACGCGTGAGAAGCGCACGTAGAAAAATAAACGTCCGTGGGTCGTCGCGACCGCGACGCTGTCGGCCATGCTGATGTGATCATAAGAAGTGCATAAGACAGCTTCGGAGCTGTGGTAGGATTTCGTCGTAACCTGCGCAAAACTTACGAAAATTTCGTATCGTGAATACGAATTTGTTCTTAAGTTTTGTCTTACGCACATTTTTGGCGTAAGATCGTTTCGTGAATCTGGCCTCTGCACTTCCGAAAGTCGCAAGAAAGGTAAGACCATAGCCTCCTCTATACGGAGGAGGCTATGGTCTTACATCATGCACGCGCTCCGTATAGAGGAGGCTATGGTAAGACAGACGCAGGCGACGTTGCGAGCAGACGACGTTGCAAAGAAGCAGACGACGCTCAGATAGGGGGGTCGCGATCAGCCAATCAGGGCTCGGCGTTCTGACGTCACCGCTACCCCCCTGCGCAAGAGGCAGACGAACTTGCCCTCCGCATAGAGTGGCTCTAATTCACACGAGAGAGAAATCCCGGGGATCTCTCCCCGGCACGCGCGCATCACGAGATGAAAACGCGAGGCTTTTGCACATCGCAAAGCCTGACGTTTTCGTCGTGGGATGCGCGTGCCGGAGAGACTCGTGTGAATACCTCTTTAAACCTGAGACTGTGAAGGTTGATTGATCTTATTTTTGTGGCACAAAAACGTAATAGGCTATAATGCGCCAGGTACATAAACTATTGCTGAAAAGGGTTAGGGAGAAGAAATAGCTATTGATAGGATAAAACTGTAAACATGAGGTGTGTAGAAATGTAAAAGTTATGAACATGGGTTCGGGGAGCTAAAATAGAATCACAGTCGGCGTAGAAGGCCGATTAATAATAATAATAATAATAATAATAATAATAATAATAATAATAATAATAATAATAATATTGCAACTAAAAGGGACATCCTGGGTGGCGTGCAAAGGTGAAAACCCGTACGCAAGTGCACCTGCCAGGCCGCCACCCAGGATGCTAAATAAAATAAAAAAGCGCGCAATCACTCTCACACTTGCTCACGCGCGCGCGACACACACTGGCACACAAGTGAATGAATACGAAATACAGAGGGAGTTCCAAGTTCAACACTACGGCTGCTGAAGTCGCAGACTCCTAGCAAACGCGCAGCAGAACCGTGTAGAGTCAGTTCTGTCGTGGGGCAGGGGCGAATGTGAAGTAAGTGGGGTCGTAAGAAAGTCTTCGATCTCTACCAAGATTGTCGAGCAGCTCTGGCGACGGGTCCGAGCGCGGATGGGCTGAGGCTGCCCTTATCTTTTGCTTAGTCTTGTGGGTGACGCAATATATGTTCCCCCGAGATAGCCGTCAAAGAGACAGCAAGTCAAGTTTAACCTGTCGATTCTCCTCCAGTGCGACAAGGGCTGCCATCTGCGACGCTTCAGCCGACACTCCAATGGCGGAGAATGTTCGTTCTACCGAGTAAAAAAGGTTCGAGTGACACGCCGCAGTACGCTCTCCAGGCTGTCGACTATATGAGCCTGACATGAGCGCCACACTGCGCAACAGAGTTCGAGGTGAAGGAGCGCGAGTGCGGTGTACAGGACACGGAAAGTGGCCGGACCGCACATCCTTGAGAGTGGTGTCACAAATCCCAGAAGACGTCTGGCCTTAGCAACTGCATTGGCAGTGCGGACAGCGGAGAATAAAGCAGGGGTGAATGTTACACCAAGAATAAGAACAAGTGCTGCAGGTGTAAGAGGGACGCCAAATGTGGGTGGGAGTTCCTGGGAAGCGACTGTGGTTGACCCGCATAACCGCCCACTTGGACGGGTTCAGGGCGAGACACTTCAGCTCGCGCCACTGCTGAACTTCAGACAAGTACTTCTGGAGGGCAGAACAGCTGGCGTAGCGGCGTGTCCGGGTGAGGAGAGTGGTGTCATCAGCATACTGGACCGTGTGAATGTCGATGGATTGTGGGGGATCGGTGGCCGAGTGGGCTAGCGCACACCAGCTCGGGGGACGTGGAGCGAAAGCTCGAGCTGCAGAACCCAGGGATCCTGGGCTCCCACCCCTGCCTGTTTCGATCTGGATGAGCATCGTACCGGCGTGCGGTCGTGTATCACTACTGCGTGGTTGTACTGCACTGGCTAGCGGTTGTACTGCACTGGCTAAATTGCTCATCTACAGCGAGTGACTCGTCGCAACTTTAAAATGGCTGACCAACGACTCGCTATATAAATATCCACACAACCCAATTATTTATTTATCGATGGATTGTGGTAGGTCGTTTATGTACAAAAAGAACAGAGTTGGTCCGAATACGGAGCTTTGAGGTACTCCAGCTGTGACAGCAAAACATGTACTCGGAGCGGGATCCGTGGAAGACAATCTGGGCCGGCTTGCTAGAAGTAGCGTCTCAGTTGAGACTGCTCAAAGAAAGCGCTGCCAAGGCTCGGGCGC